TTATTTATTACACATATCTATTGATCAGCATATCAGTATCAATCAGCTTGTCTGTAGTACCATCTGTGTCTTCAAAGATATCCCATCCTGTGCTAATACGCTGTGCACTGCAGACCCCTGATAAATGGATAAAAGAGCCTGGAAATTTTCCTTCAGCCCGGGTGAAGATACACGCAGCACTACGCGCTCTCTGGAAGTCCCCTCGCCATGGTTTTTGAAGAGTTTTTTCTTCTCATTTTCAGTGAATCTCACTCATATTCAAATAATTATTCTCCCTTTGTTTGACTGCAGTAATACAGTTCATAGATTTGCAGGCAAAGTTCTGCTTCACATGCCTGATGTTCTCAATTTCTCTGCTGTACAGTTTGCTACAAAACACATCACTGTTCTCCTTATTTATCAGTTACATTAATAATTGGTCTTCTCTGTTCATTATTGTCTCTGTTCTCTTAATAGTCATTGATTTATTCATTGGTTTATTTATAAAACTGTAATCTATCTACTGTCATGCTGTCTGCTACATATTGTGGTGTCTGCCTTGAGCCATGCTGTCATGAGGAACTTAGGAGGTGTGGCCATGCAAAGCGGCTCTTGGGGGCGCCATACACCCAGATTAAAAAGATACTGCAGCTGCTGTTAGATGTTACTAGTTCCTGTGTGTTGTTTGGAGTAATTATGACAGAGGAAGGTGGGTTTACAGTGTGTTGAAATGTCCAGACTCCACAGATGTCGAGTCCTCCTGTGTTACCTCTCCCTGGGTTTTGTGCGCTGGAAAAATTATTGATTGATTTAAATTAAAAAAGTAAGTAACCTGGTTGATTAAAAAAATTGAGTTAATTGAAATAATAAGGTAATAGAATGTAAAACAGATTTTTTTCTTTTATTTTTACAAATTCATTGAACTCAAAATTAGAAATGTCTCTCTCAGAGAAAGTTTTGCTACAACTCTGGGCTCATGCAAAATGGATTGCTCCTGGCGGTGGTGGGTTGTGTTTTTTTTTGTTTTTTTTTAAACAGAAGTTTGTTTCTGATAAAAAAATGTTATGATCCACTTTCTCTCTCCTGCCCTTCCCCCGCACCACTCCCCCCAGAGCCGTGTAGTAGCACACACACACACACACACACACACACACACACAAACACACATACACACCCACACACTCACACACACACACACACTAGTGCCAGTTACAGTTTGACTGTGGTGACGAGAATTTCTTATCATGCAGCACCAACACATTACAGTCATTAGCAGTCACAGATCACTCTTTATGTTGTTTTTGTTTGCTATCTGACGTTTTTTATTTAGCAAGGTAATCTTGCAGGTTGTCGTTTAAGAGAGCGCGAGAGAAAAAAAAAAAAGCTGCTCGAGCTTTGAGTTCAGATGTTGAGAAATCTAAAAGAACTGGGTTTCTGAGCTCTAACACTCCAAAAAGAACCTGCCTGAACAAAAAGAAGCTCAGAAACCAAGAAATGTGGATTTGATATGCAAAATTTGTTGATCAGTATAAGCTCCAGTGATCAGACTGAGTATTATGGTTTGTTCTGTTTGCTGTAGTTTATGCTCTGTGAGATCTGCTGAAATCCAGCAGTCCTTGCGTAAACTGCATACTTGGCCAACAACACTGACTGTGACTCTGAGATAGTAAAATCATGCTGGGTCAGCTGCTCTGTTCAGAGAGATGATGAGGGACTTTTTGGGGGCGGAATGCGCTGCAGACCAACCAACCCACCGCCAAACAGACTGTTTACATTTCTGTTTAATGTGTTTATTGATGTTGTTCTTAAGTTTAAAGCGTGAGTATTTGTTTATCGTGTTATTTGGGTCAGTAACTCTTGTTGCTCTTGTTGCTCTTCTTATGTTATTGAGTACTCCTGGGTTCTACTGAGAATTATTATTGAGTTCTGTTGAGTTATTTGGTTCTACGTTTGAGTGTTGGTTCCTCTCAAGGTTTCTTCTTCTGGCTCTGAGGGAGTTTTTCTTGCCCCTGTTGCTCTTGGTGATGCTCTTTTGGGTCTCAGATCTGGATTAACACTTGCTGTAAAAGGTGATACATAAATAAATCTTGAATTAAATTTAAAAAGTCATTGGAAATAATTCACAATAAACCGATGACCAAATTCTCCATAAGACCAGATGTGCAACACACCCATATTTAAAAAAAACCTTTAAAACATTCATATTAAATAATTTCAACAAAGTTCAGTTCATATTCCATTTATTATTTAATCGAGATTCATGAGGAAAAGCTTCATCTTACTAAAAGCATTAAATTTATGTGTAATTTTTTACTGTAGGTATTTGGAATAATAGGAGAGTAAAATCTTTCAGAATTGCCATTCCATTTTACTTATACCACTTTATAAAATCCCATAACTTTATCAACTGTTTCCAACAAACTCCACTATATTGTTGAAAAACACCTGTCCAGGTATTCATGCATTTTACTGTAGGAATATGGAATAATGGGATTTTCTCATTTTGGAAGATTTTGCTGTCCTTTTTCCATGGAGATCAGATCACATTACTCCAGATTCCTACTATAAAATGCATGATAAGCATGATTATGTGGGAATGTTCTGCTAGGATATAACGAAGATAAATGAACATTTCATTTATCTATGTTTAAAAACAGGACTTTTTCTCTCACATATGCAGACAAGTGATAAAGTAAGAACCTGAATAAGTGAGTGGAGAAACATAATACTGTCACGGATTCTCCCTTTGTCCCTCTCAGTGTGTCTTTCGTCCCCTCTGTTGTAGCCATGTGCCTTTTGTTTTCTTGTACCATGTGCTTTTGTTGTTGTTCTGTGTCTCCTCCCTGGTCCTGCCCCTTGTTATCTGTTCCACCTGTCGGTGCTCCGCCCCTCCTTAGTCCCAGGTGTTTCTTGTTTCCCCTCTGTGTATTTATACCCCTGTGTTTGTTCAGTCTTCGTCTTGCATTGTGGATGTTATCTTGTCTCTTGTTTGCTTGTCGCTCTTGTAGTTTGGTTTTGTTTTTGTCATGGACTTTCAATAAAAATAACTCGCATTTGCATCCCGCCTCCATGCCTCCACCGTTACAAATACAGGTGAACTACATGATGCAATTAACAAAAAAGTTCTAGTCAAGTGGAAACGAGGTAAAAAGGCAAAAATATTTTTGTCTAAAAATGTATAACTATAAACACTAAGTGTGAATTTAAAGTAAGAACTGCAAACTGTGTTGGTTATGTATCTTTTTGAAGTGATATCAACTTACTGTATATTCCCCTTTTACTGGAGCCCTACCTGGACCAGGTGCTCCCTCTGCCCACTGTCAGCACATTTTCTGCACCCTTCTGCCCAGCCTGGGCACCTGGACAGCCCATCAGCATTGGTCTGACTCTGTCCTGCCTGGTACACTGTACTAACTGGAACCCCAGATTGCACTGTAACATTCAGGACTACTAGTGCGTCAAAGGCCATAAGGCAAGCATCACCCACCTCCACTAAATAGAACGAGTGGCATAAACTTTTGCCCCCAATCTTGAGTGCCACCCATTGCTTGCCATCCATCTGGGCAGTCTAATGTATGTAATCCAACAAGTAAATGCCATTCACTCAAGCTGAGTATGTTGTATTTGTGACATAGAACATACATTTTTACAAAATAAAATATAAAAAACAAATACTAGAGTTAATATTAGTATTGGTATTCGGTATTGGCCTAAACTCACACTGAACTGCCTTACAAATGCCTATTTATTTATTTATTTATTTATTTATTTATTTTAATGCTTGGACCAGTATTCCTGGGCCACATCACCACCCCCATTTACAGGGACATGAATTTTTCATCTCGTTATTAATGTCAGACAATTTATCATTTATTCATGGTTATACAGATATAAGGTGATGTGGTCCTGCAACCACCCAACCCCCTGAACACCCGAGCCTAATCTTGGCATCAGTCCAGCTTATAAACCTGTGACCGTCCACTGTTCAGTGGTTAAATGTTAAATGTCTAGTACATTTGCACAAGAAATAAACTTCAATTCTGCAGAAATACGCCTGCTCCACAAATGCTAATTAAAACTCTTAAACATAAAATAGAAAGCATATACTATATACAGGATCCATTAATGCTGCCACCTTCTCTGGGCCTGAGCTCTTTTAAAATGGACTGAGGAGAAATGGAAAAGTGTCCTGTGGTCCAACAAATCAACATTTGAAATTCTTTTCAAAAATCATGGACACTATGTCCTCCGGGCTAAAGACCACTCATCTTGTTATCAGTGCCAGTATTCATTATGGTTTAGGGGGGCATTAGTGCACATGGCATGGGTGACTGGCAAATCTGTGAAGGCACCATTAATGCTGAATGATATATACATGTTTATGCTGCCATCCAGATGACGTCTTTTTCAGGGAAGGCCTTGTTTATTTCAGCAAGACAATGTCAAACCACATTCTGCATGTATTACAGCAGCATTGCTCTGTATTAAAAGAGTCCAGGTGCTAAACTGACCTGCCTGCTGTCCAGACCTGTCACCACTGATAACATTTGGCGCATTATGACATGAAAAATATGACAAACGAGACTCTGAACTGTTGAGCAGCTGAAATCCTATGTTAAGCAAAAATGGGAAAACATTTCACTTTCAAAACTACAGCAGTGTCTCCTCAGTTCCTAAACTCTTACAGAGTGCTGTTAAAAGAAGAGGCGATGAAACACAGTAGTAAACAGGCCCCCGTCCCAACTTTTTTGGAACGTGTTTTTGGCATCAAATTCAAAATGTGCATATATTTTTTTCAAAAAAACAATAAGTTTCAACATTTGATATGTTGTCTTTATAGTATTTTCAGTGAAATATAGGGATTAAATGATTTGCACATCATTAAATTTTGTTTTTATTTACATTTTGCACAGCATCACAACTTTTTTGGAAATGGGGTTTTAAATGTGTACTGTCACTTTAACAGAAAAAAAAAAAACAAAACTGCGCCACAAATTGAACACTTTCTGACTGAAACCGAAAGTAGAGTAGAGCAGCCGCGCTGTAGGAGAAGGAGACAGAGAGATATCACACAGTAACAGAGACTTTATTACACACGGTAAGTTTATAATAAACACACATATACAACACTGGTGTGTAGATTAAATAAAGAACACATGTTACAGTTTATAACTAAACTCAGTGAAGGATTAAAGTTCTAGTAGAAGTGAATGTTCAGTTGTGAGGGTTCTAGATCAGGGTGTAAATTGACGCAAAATGAACTGTTATAACAGATAACGGAGCAGTGAAATGCAGAAAACGGCTGTAGAGAAACTCAGAAATCCTGAATTTTCAATACAAAGAGTGAACTTTGTTCATTTAAGACATCATTGTTCATGATATATAACAGAGTGAGTTTCTGTAAAATCTAATCTATGAGACTGAAGTTGGCTTCTTATTTGAATTTTCCAGTCCAATTTAAAATGCCAGTAGTGTTTAACTGATCTGAATGAACGGATCTGGAGTTAGGTCAACTGAAAATGCTTATAAAGTGTAATAGTCCTGTAGTTTATTCTGATATTGTATATTCAGAGGGTCACAGAAAAATGCTACAGTAAATGTTGTTATAACTCAGGATTATGATATAGTACCATCTTATGTGTTATACCATAATAATGTCAGAATCAACATAATGTTTGATAATATAGGACAAGAACAATTATTTTTCAGTCAACCTTTTCATATGCCAGGATATTTTTTTGTTAGATCTATATTCATAAATCTGTCAGAATCAACAGACTGTTTGATAATGTAGAGTTAGGCTTAAGGGCTGATGTGTGATAGTCAGTGAGTTACAGTAATGAAATGTCACTGTAAGAGTTCTTATACTTCAGGAATATAATATAGTATTAATATGTGAATCATATCTTCATATCAGATTCCAGACTGTTTGATAATGAGGAGTTTGGTCTTCAGGACTCATTCACTGTACAGTCACTCTTTGGTTGTGTATAAAGGCTTATTCAAAGTTAAAGGTTTTTCTGCTTATCTTTTTCTATGTCTACTTCCATCTTATGTTATCGGTCATCTAAAAGTGTATTGTTTTTTTTTTTTTTTTTGCCCCCCACCCCGCCTCATCGGAGGACTATTAAAACTTTGTGTTTATTTGTGATACATTTATGAGTGAGAATATATAAGCAAAAACAAACAGATAGAGAAAAAACAAACAAGAAAAGAAGAAGAACAAAAAGAAGAAAAGAAAAAGGATACATAAAATGAATAATGATAATTTTACAAATAATGACAAGTTGAGCATTGGACTTGATGAAAGGCACACATTAAGAACACCTGTAGTGTCGTAAGAATTAGATTTGTTGTATAATGATAGGATTCTGAATGTGTGTGTGTGTGTGGTAATAAAGGAGGGAGAGTTTATGATCGTGTAGGGTAGTTAGGGAGTGGGTATTGGATCTTAGTATATCAGTTTCTCTAGTAAAGTTGATTTAATGGGAAAATTAAGTTAATAACTGGTGTCCAGGTCGAGTCAAACTGATTGTTTTTGTGTTTGATGGAAGCAGATATTTTTTCCATAGATAGAGGATCCAATAGTAAATTTTTCCAATGGGTGACAGTAATAGCGTTTTCTGTCATCCAGTTCATGAGGATGGTTTTCTTGGCGATGGTTAGGGCTGTGAGTAGGGCGGTGGAAGTTTGTGGAAGTGTGGTTTTAAAGTGTGAAGTGCGCTGCTCAGGCTATAGGAGTGTTTTTCAGTGGCAGTGTTTGTTACTTAACCGAAACAGTGAAAAGATCTGCTCCTGAAATAGTTCAGTTAGTCCACTTCTTGGCTCTTAACATGTTCTTCCTTAAATTATGAACATGCCCATTAATGCTAGATCCTGGATTGTGCGTACAGTCATTACTAAGTTCTCAGTTATTTAGTTTCAGACTCTCCTTTTACTAAATCCAGCTGCTCCACAAATCCTTAAGTCACATCTTAACTAGTAACTAGTAATGCAAACGTAGCTTTAACATGTACTTAATGCATACATTGCTTTAAGATGACAACATATTCAGAACCTGCCTACAAAACCACTACCATGGAAACAAGAAATATCCAGAATATAAGAGAACAATGTATACAAGCTTAAAAGCTAACGTTTTTATAATTTAACCTAATTAAACACAATACCAATATGTATTCTTTATTTGTTTATTCTTTCATTTTTCCTCAAGACAACCCAATGCATAACTTATTTAAATGATGTTTTCTGTCCAAACTACGGCAGAACAGCAGCATCAGTTTAGACATTTCAGTTCAGAGTTAGGCGAGTCTCACTGAACTGGACCTCTGAATGACAGCTTCATGTTAAAACCAGGGCGATGATTAGAGCTGTAAGAAGAATACAGCATACAGCATTGAGTGTTTTTAGCTTAATTATCTTAGCTAAAACATGTTGTTTTTGCTGTCTATGAGGTTTTCAACACTTTAACCATTCTAGTTTTTCAAATTTTTTCTATTGTAAAAAAAAAGATAAGTCAATAGATATGCAAGAAATATTCGGACTTATGCTACATAAGTGCTTAAACTGATTGTCTAGGCAGCACATTCAGATTATTGAAACTTGAAAATTGTTGAAAGACTCAACTGATATTTTCAAATGCTTTTGTGAAAAAGTGCTTCAATGCACCAGTTTTTATATAGTCTGCTGAGAAACAAAGTTTATGTAGCTAAATGCTAGCAAGTGAGCAGTAGTTTTCAGTAGCAGTGCAGCTAAAGGAAGTAAAATAATCAGCCTGCATGTCACACAGAAACAGATTTATGATCAGACTTTTTAATTTCAGTCTGATGGCTCTTTCCTGTGAAAGTGATGGTGATCTCTCAGCAGTGGTCAGAGGTTGATCTGTTAACACTCTGTTCATAACTGTCTGTATTAGAGCTCTAATTTTAGGTGATAATGTGGGTTTTAACCCTCTGGGATCCACAAACTCACCCACACATCAAATTCTCTGTTTCTGTATCTGTTTCTGTATCTTTGTGATGATCCAGCATGGAAATGCGGTTCAAACATTTCCTGAATCTGTAGAGTCGCCCTTTCCTTTCCATCTTATCACAAGATTGTATGTGACTCACATCTGCTTACAGCTGCTGAAGTTGCTGCAGCAGTTTTGGAAAGTAGTGATGAAGATAACGGAGCATTTTAGTAGTAACAAGAAGAGAATTAACCAGCAAGTAATTAACCTTATTAATTACTTAACAAGGTTTTACAGTTTATTACTTGTTACTATATAGACAATATATATATAAAACTAAACATAAAAAATAAGATAAAAATATAAAGTCTATCCTTCACAAAAATAACAATATAAAGAATTATAAATAAATAAAAGCAAAAATATTTAAACTGTAAGGATATTTTACCTGAATTTCACTTAGAGTTTTGCACATGAGGTGCTGGTTTATATTACACATGGGATGGTGAGGAGTTACAATATAAACATTATAAATAGAAAGCAAGAAATCTTTACACTATATTTTAAAAAATATTGTACATGGAGTATTGATTATATTGTACACAGGAAATGGTGATGAATTGACAGTTTATGTTTCTGTAAGTGTGAAGGTCTATTGGGGGGTGGAGGGGGTTCTACTGGGAGCAGTGCTGGTTGTTCAGTCTAACAGCATCAGGAACGAAGGACCTGCGATAGCCTCCTTCACACACTTGGGGTGGAGCAGCCTGTCACTGAAGGAGCTGCCCAGTGCTGCCAGAGTCTCAGTCATGGGGTGGGAGCTGTTCTCCAGCATGGATGCTAGTCTGGCTAATATCCTCCTGTCTCCCACCTCCTGCACTGGGTCTAGGTGTCTTCCCAACCACAATAAAACTGGTGTGCTACGATACCCAGTACCGCACTGAAAGAATCAAATTGTGGATGGCAACAAAGAAAAGAACGAAACAAAACCTGACCATGTCTTCCTACTCTGAAACAAAAAAGTACTTAGCTAATCTAAAAAAGGAAACAAAAGCTAACTACTCTACACTTCCTTGGCCAGTAATCAAAAGAACATTTTGTGAATAAATAAGGTTAGTGAATAAATAAAGATCATTTATAATCATTGACAGTCACTCAACAGTATTTATAAAGTGGCACTACTGGTTCTTTTTTGTCTGTTCCAACTTATTATACTTTAAACCTTAATGTTGTGACTAGATATTGTGTGTATTGTGAAAATTTGTGATGCACAATGAAGTATTGTGATATTATATTTTTCCCATATTGCAAACTTTTTCTGTTTTTGTTCATATAGAATATTTGAATATTCTACATGATAATATTCAAAATTAAAAATATTTACAGCTCTAAAAATCTGTTCTTATACATTTTTTACAGCAACAAACATATTTTTCTTTTGTCAAAATGCAGCATCCCTCAGAAATAGGAGAACCTCTTGAGGTTTAAAGTGCTAGTATGTAACAATAAATTTAAACTTAAAATGAAACAACAATGGATCATCTGAAAAAGGAAAACCCATCAAGTCGAGCTGCACTTTTGTTTTGCATCATCTTCCTTTACTGCTAACTGCACTGACTGCACTGGTCAGGATACTTACTGGACGCATCTGGACAAAGTCTGTGTAGTAGATCAGCTAACAACAAGAAACAGAACAGTATAAAAACCATATAGACCTTCTGGAGCATCATAATGGTTAATATGGAAATCTAGTGACTTTATATTCACTGTTTTACTGTTTCTTGCATTGAGCTTGTTAGAATAAAATGAAAGTAAATATTAAATCATGAAGGATTGCAGATCGGTAATTTTTTGTAATTCAGGAAAAATAATTTGTGCTTTTGAAAAAGTATAGGGTCCAAAAAGGCTTTGAAAATGGATTTTTGTTGGATTTTGAAGTTATTTTTAACTCATGGTGCAGCTTCAAATAAAGCACGCAGGTTTCCCAAAAACGTAGGAATACTACATAAAACCAGCATTCTTAATTTAGTAAATTTATTTCAAAGAGAAAGTTATATATGATGTGGTGTAAAAATTCAGTAACCTCCTTGATGTGACCCGCAGGATCCCTAGATGAGCAGAGATAGAATAACACTATTCCAAAATTGCAAAATAAAACCAATCAATCATTCAAACTAATTCAAATTAATCAATCACCCATTGACTGTGTTTTTCCTCTCTTTCTTTTGCCGAGTTGAACAGCTGCCCATCCTGCTGCTGATGCTGCTGCCTCTGCTGCCTTGATCGGGTGCCACTGCTCACCGTGCAAACCTCACCCTCACAACCTGACCCCACTGATGCTGCTGCTTCTGCTGCATGAACTGAACTATTCAAATTAATTGTTTCCTTCACGTTTTACCCTGTTTTTTTGTACTATAATACTTTATACTAACAATGTTTACTATCCGGTGTCGACCAGAGGAGGATGGGTTCCCCTTCTGAGTCCTGGTTCCTCTCAAGGTTTCTTCCTGTTTCTCTTAGGGAGTTTTTCCTTGCCACTGTCGCCACTGGCTTGCTCATGGGGGCTCGGACCCGGACTTCTTTTTGTAATGCTCATTTCCTTGTAAAGCTGCTTTGTGACAACACCTGTTGTAAAAAGCGCTATATAAATAAACTTTACTTACTTACTTACTTACATGTAGATAATGGCATGCTGTGCACCATAAATAGTTGTACAGACAAGTGTATTTTTTATTTATTTTTATTTTTAAGAATGTTAAAAAAAGTCTTATGTGAAAAATCTTTTATGTTTATTTCTGTATTTATTTATTTGATTATTTACTGTTAATGTCATGTTTAGGTTTTTAATATTAGTCTCAAATGGCATTTAATAGTTTGAGTTTGTGTTCAGTTTTGGGCAAAGAAAACCTTTGTGTGAAATATTGTAGTTCTAACACGTAATCAGACCGTGAAGCAGGAATGGAGATCACACAAGACAAAAGTGTTTAAGTCTTAACTGTGTGTGATACTGTACATGTTTTGTATTTCTGAATAGATCTCAGGGAGCAATACAGAGTAACAGCTCCATGATGGAGCTTCATCACTCCAGCAGTGGAGGAGGAACCTCTGATCCAAAGTGAGCAATTTTATATCAGCACTATTTATGGAAAAAGAACAAATGAAAAATTTATTTTAAAAATGATTAAAAATGTTTCTTTATGTTCAGACTAAATGAGTTTCAGTAAATGGAAAATTTACTCAGCACTTCATACTCATCATGCTTTCAGGTTAAAGCATGCAGAATCTCCAGAACCCAGCTTTGTGTCTGTGGAGAGTGACCGGTCCTTGCCTGACCCTCCCGTATTCAGCAGTGGAGGAGGAGAACCCAGCTGTGTGTCTGTGGAGAGTGACCGGTCCTTGCCTGACCCTCCCGTATTCAGCAGTGGAGGAGAAGAACCCAGCTGTGTGTCTGTGGAGAGTGACCGGTCCTTGCCTGACCCTCCCGTATTCAGCAGTGGAGGAGGAGAACCCAGCTGTGTGTCTGTGGAGAGTGACCGGTCCTTGCCTGACCCTCCCGTATTCAGCAGTGGAGGAGGAGAACCCAGCTGTGTGTCTGTGGAGAGTGACCGGTCCTTGCCTGACCGTCCCGTATTCAGCAGTGGAGGAGGAGAACCCAGCTGTGTGTCTGTGGAGAGTGACCGGTCCTTGCCTGACCCTCCTGTATTCAGCAGTGGAGGAAGAGAACCCAGCTGTGTGTCTGTGGAGAGTGACCGGTCCTTGCCTGACCCTCCTGTATTCAGCAGTGGAGGAGGAGAACCCAGCTGTGTGTCTGTGGAGAGTGACCGGTCCTTGCCTGACCCTCCCGTATTCAGCAGTGGAGGAGGAGAACCCAGCTGTGTGTCTGTGGACAGTGACCGGTCCTTGCCTGACCCTCCTGTATTCAGCAGTGGAGCTATACCCTCTGACCCAGAGTGAGTTATTGTATTATAACAATAAATAGTGAACAGTTAAAGAAGTTTAGATTATAGAGCACAAGCACTTTTTGTTGTTCTGTGACTGTGAGTTTAAATCTCAGCAGTGGAGAGGACACTCCAGCACGTCTAGTCACTGACTGTGTGGTGTGATCAAGTTTATCAGTGATCTGTAGACTGTTATAGATAAAATAAATTTTATAGAAAAAAGAGATAAAAATATTTTTATGAGAAAAATATTTATTTAATGCAGAAATAATGTGTTAGACAACCATTTATTAAGCATTCACCATTTATTTACAAATGTCTGAAATGTAAAACTATTATTAATGCTCTGTTCCAGTCTACCCCGCGACCCAGAAGAATAAGCGGCTAATAAAATGTGCGTGTGTGTGTGTGTGTGTGTGTGTGTGTGTGTGTGTGTGTTCCAGTCTAGAAATAGTCACAATTAATATAATTATTAAATGGTTCATAGTGTAACGGCATGTAAACTACTTGTCTAGGTGTCAACTGTGGTCACAGCATAAAACAAAAGAAAAAGAAACAGCCATGTTTCAAGTGAAACTTTGGGTCATGTTTTTTTTCTATTTTTCATTTCTTTACAGCATTATGTATGTTTTAGTACAGCACAAGAAAGATGTTGGAGAGGGCTAACACCAAAATAAACAAAAATCTAACTAGGAGATCAGAAAACCTAAATAACAAAAGAAAGAAAGCAGAAAAGTACAAACACCCTTCCCTCTCTCTTCTTAGCTGAATGAAAAGCAGGAGAAAAGTCAATCCAAAAGAAATGGCACCCACCCCTGCAGCCTGGCTGTTAGTCATTGTAAATAAGTTGGAGAATTGTACATGGTTGCAATGCTCAGTTTTGTTCTAGGGTTCAATAACAGTTGGCTCTGCTCTAAAAGCACAGGTATGATGATGAGAGTGACTTTCTGTAAAACAAATGACCACATTAAACAGGTGTAAATCAGACAAATCTGCATGGAGAGTTGCTTCAGACCCTCTGACCACGGGCTTCAGCTCAGCCAGTCCAATCAGTTTTCACAGGTGTCACTCATCACTGATACAAGAGACACAGAGTGAGTGAAAGAAAGAAAGAAAGAGAGAAACAGAGTGAGTGAAAGAGAGGGGGAGAGAGAGAGTGAGAAAAAAAGTCATTGGGATGTAACAGCAATAAGAATATCTTCCATTGTAACACAAAATCATAATTATCAGACAGAAATACAGTCAGAATTTCTGATCTCCCATGAATTGTGAAATGCTGCAGTTGCTAAATATATGAAAGCACTTGAACTCTGAATATAATATTTTGTATGTAAATTATTATTATTAGGCTACCCAGGAGAGCCTGAATGTATATTTGCTCAATCAACCTTAAGCATTTGGAACACAGTTTGTTTCTTGATGCAAAACATAAGGTTCACCGTGGGAACCTGACTCAAACCAATAGAAGGAGCTATTTAATTAGGTACAAATTACATTAAAGTATAGTTCAGTTATAATTACATGAAAATATTACATGTGACAGAGTAGTTTCATCGGTGATCTGCATTGTGAGCTGTTATTGTGGTTATTTGTGTTGATGTTTGTGTTGCTGTGTTTGACCCCATCAGGCTGAGCTCCACAGAACCTGCACTGCACATAAACACTCTGTTGGAGGAAACTGGAGACCTGAATCAGGATTCATACCAACCTGTGGATGATGATCTACACAGAGTCTTACAGAGACACAAAACCAGCATGAAGAACAAGTATGAGAGCTTATTTGAGGGAATCAGAACAGAAGAGAATAAAACCCTCCTGAACAGGATTTACACTCAGCTCTACATCATAGAGGGAGAGAGTGAAGGAGTGAATGAAGAACATGAGGTTCTACAGATGGAGAAAACATCCAGGAGACGCTTACAAGACTCTCCAATCAACTGCTTAGACATCTTTAAACCTCTACAAGGTCCTGAAGGAGAAACACGAGAAGAGACCATTAGAGCTGTGGAGGCTGACAGACTCAGACACAGAGAAAGAAAAGATCACAGACCAGAAGAGCCAGAGCTCAGAGCTGTTCTGACTAAAGGCATCGCTGGAATTGGAAAAACTGTCTCTGTGCAGAAGTTCATTCTGGACTGGGCTGAAGGAAAAGCCAATCAGGATGTAGAGCTCATGTTTGTGCTTCCGTTCCGGGAGCTGAACCTGATTAAAGATGATCAATACAGTCTTCATGGACTTCTGTGTGACTTCCATCCTCAGCTCAAAGATCTGGACCCAGAGATTTATGGTCAGATCAAAGCTGTGTTTATATTTGATGGTCTGGATGAAAGCAGAATTCCACTGAACTTTGAAGAGTGTGAGAAAGTATCTGACATCACCATGACATCATCAGTGGGTGTGTTGATGACAAACCTCATCAAAGGAGAGCTGCTTCCCTCTGCTCTGATCTGGATAACCTCCCGGCCAGCAGCAGCCAATCAGATCCCTCCTAAATACATCAACCGTGTGACAGAGATTCAGGGATTCAGTGACCCACAGAAGGAGGAGTACTTCAGGAAGAGGATCAGTGATGAAGACCAAGCCCAGAGAATCATCTCCCACATTAAGACAGTGAGGAGCCTCCACATCATGTGCCACATTCCAGTCTTCTGCTGGATCTCAGCCACTGTTCTTCAGAGAATCATGAAACAGCATCATACAGAAATCCCTAAAACTCTGACTGAAATGTACTCACACTTCCTGATCACTCAGACCAACATGAAGAATGAGAAGTATGAGGAGAAAGATGAGAGAAACCCAAAGAACCTGCTGGAGTCCAACAGAACCATCATACTGAAACTGGCTGAACTGGCTTTCAAACAGCTGATGAAGGGCAATGTGATGTTCTATAAAGAGGACCTCAGAGAGAGCAGCATTGATGTCACTGAGGCCTCAGTGTATTCTGGGATTTTCACTGAGATCTTTAGGGAGGAATTTGTGTTTCACCAGAGGAAGGTCTACTGCTTTGTTCATCTGAGCTTTCAGGAGTTCCTGGCTGCTGTTTATGTGTTTCACTGCTATGAGATCAAGAACATGAAGGAACTGCAGATACTTAAACTCCAGAACAGAAAGTGGTCTGAGAATGTTCCACTGGATAAAGTGCTGAAGGGAGCAGTAGATAAAGCCTTAGAGAGTCAGAATGGACACCTGGATCTTTTTCTTCGTTTCTTGATGGGCATCTCACTGGAGTCCAATCAGAGACTCCTACATGGTCTACTGACACCAACACAGAGCAGCTCAGAGAGAACCAGGGAGCACATCAAGAGATTAATCAAAGAAAATGATAAAGAACATTGCATTTCATCTCAGAGATCCATCAATCTTTTCCTCTGTCTTTCTGAAGCGAATGATCAGTCAGTATCCAGAGAGATTCAGGCATTTCTAAACTCAGAGAGACACTCAGAGGTGAAACTCTCTCCTGGACAGTGTTCAGCACTAGCCTATATGATCCTGAGCTCAGAGGAGGAGCTGGATGAGCTGGACCTGACAAAATACAACACATCAGAGGAGGGTTATAGGAGACTGATCCCAGCTGTGACTGCCTGCAGGAAAGCTCTGTAAGTGTTGAATCAATATGAATATAATCTTGTTTAATATTTGAAAATTGATGGTTGCACAGGACTGTTCACAACATCTCAATCAAAAGTTTACAAATACTTGTTTCAGTAATTAGTAGAAATAGAACAATCATGAATGTTACAGGCCAAGTCCAATTGCTTAACAGCAAATTGTCCAATGAACAAACATTTTTTTACCCGAAGTTCTGTAAGAGCTAATTTAACACATTAACCAAAATTAAAATATAAACAAAATTATTTGTTCTGTATTGAACTAAATTTGCATTTTGAATTCTCGAATTTAAAATATGCCCCATTTAAACATGAATCAGATTAAGTGTTCTATTGAAAGTAAGAGGTAACTGGCTATTTAAGCATAATGTATATTCAATATATTCATAATGTATATATTGTATCCATCTATAATTTTTTTCAGATTTTAACACCCAGCAGGACCCTTTTCTACTACTGTTATTTTAACCAAGCAGGAAATTTTAAAATAGTGATGCACATTTGATGTACCTTTGTTATTGAAGTAAAGAAGGTGGAACAATTAATTTCAGATATATTTCAAAGAAAAAATGCAAAAAATGCATATATCCATTGACCCAACAATACAGATACAAAGACTAAATGATAGTAGGAAGAGAAAAGAGTTTTTGTAGGCCTGAATACTTAATCGGAAGGTTCTAGAAAATCAGTTTCTTTTCCTTTGGGTTCAGTCTTGAGGGAGGAGATCTTAAAGGTAAAATAGGTCATGAAGAGTGGAACCACTTTTAAATTATCCATCCTCCTTCCTCTTTCCTTGCCTCTCAGGTTCTCCCTATGACAATAGTCACTTGACTAGAAATCCATGCAAAAGAAAAAGTCCTGCAAACAGAACATTTTTGAATTAATCCAATGGAACAGTGCTTGCTAATATTAAACTTTAGGTTTAGCATTCAACCAAACAAAACACACAACAAACATTTTTACACAACACAAAGGCATGTTTTGACAGTACAGTTAGAATATTCACTGATTGAAAAGGGACGCTTACCCTCTTTTTTGTTTATCCAGCAAAGGACTGTTTAAGAAATTTGAGCCACTTGGATACACAACAGACTGTTCATAGAAACCACCATGCATGATACCATCTACGCCTCCATCATTTAGGCATGAACAGTTTCTAAAAGGATTAGCCTCTGTGGATGTCTGGATATTTTAAAACCACATTGCACCCTTACAAACTAGTAAATACTGGAACAGAGGTAAAACCATTACAAGAATGTAACATCCAAGAATGTACGCTGTCCACTTAAAAACCATGTAGCTCTACCTTGCTGGTGTTCAGTGAATGTAGCGTATCATAGCTCATCATGTATACAATAAGTTGATAGTTGTGGATTGTGAGTTAGTCCTTTCACAAGCTCATTTCTGCCTGTAGCAGGTTCCAGGTATGTTCTACACATCCACTTATTTTCTGCACTTTCCCATGTGTCACCAAACCTTTCTGAAACAATTTATTACATAAAATGTTGTTCCCAGGTATAAGTGTGCAAGTGTTAATGTATTTGCTCTGTGTATTGCTTTATATATTCACATAAAAATTAGTTGGACTGGAAGTAGACTTCAAGGTGCATTGGAATATTTCTAGTTTAGTCAGCCCCCATTTTTTAACTCTAGCAGTCTAACAGTCTTTTTAAGAGCACTGGTATGATTGTTGTACAATTTTTTGCCTAGGTTTTATGTCTCTATTTAGTGTCACATTATCTTAAGTAGAATAAAAAATATTTTCTTTTGGTCATAAAATTTAATTCTGTGGACCCAGCTGGACAACTGACAGAAGTTGATAGAACTGGAAGGTTATACTTGACACAATAGCATGGGGATCTGAGATTGCTGTGTTCTGGCGAGAAAGGTTAAATTATCCATGTTGATACCAAAGGTCAAAATTAAGTCATTGGTGTGGTTGCAATAATGAGTGGGCCCCATTATATTTTGAGTGAAATCAGATAGACACAAATCCTTTAGTGAGTGGATCCTGTGCTTGAGCATTAATAATTTCAATTACTGTGTTTTTAGTAAGCATTACTAGACTGGATAGAAAGACATCAAATTCCTGTAAGAGCTCAGAATAGGGCCATGGTGGCCTTTAGATTGTGATTAGCATACATAAATTCTAATTTGTAGCTTTAGCAGTTAACATTAAGAAAAATAATTACAAAAATAGAATTTGTAACTGATCATTTGTATAGATGGTCTCTATTCCTCCTTCATGGCCAATTAAATGATGGCTGTGTACACAGTTGTTGGTTGTGGGGATGGCTTCAGTTAGAGTAAGGTATTCTTCAGGTCTAATCCACATTTCTGTGAGGCCTTGAGCATCAATATCATATTCATGTTTGTCTCAATTTTTTGCAGACTAATTGGCTGTAATCTCACCAAGGACTCCTGTGAAATTCTCTGCTCTGCACTACAGTCAGCAAACTCCTGCCTGAAAGAGCTGGAGCTCAGTAACAGTGACCTGACAGACTCAGGAGTGAAACTGCTCTCTGATGGATTGAAGAGTTTGCACTGCAAACTGGAGATACTCAGGTAAGATTTCTTTAAATTAGATCTTAAATTACAAATATTCAATGTTATTTAGAAATAAATTGATAAAGAATTAGTAGTTTACAGCAGGAACACAGCAAGGAAACAGTTTGATGACCCGAGAATAAAAACTGTTCTTGAGTCTGGTGTCCAGTACAGGATGCTCTGGAAATGCTTGCTGGTCAGCAAGGGGTGGACAACATAGGGTCGAACAGTTTATGAACAAGGGGGGAATGCTATGGACTCTCCTTAGATATTTCTTGGCATTACTGTGGGTGTGCCCCAGGATTAGAGTCTTGGGCTGCTCTTATTTAATTTCCATATGTTTCCTCTTCCTACAAGACTATGGGATATCTTACCACAGCTATGCAGATGATACTCGGATCTACTTGGCCCTCTCTCCAAACAACTATGGTCCCCTTGACTCACTCTGTAAGAGCCTTGAGCTCATCACTAACAGGATGGGACAAAACGTTTTACAGTTGAATGGAAATAAAACAGATTATTTCATTTGACAACAGCAATGAGAGGCACAGACAAGCTTCCTATCTTGACTTGAGAAGCCTAAAATCTAAAGAACTAGCATGTAACCTTTGTGTACTAATGGACCCTAATCTCAGTTTTAGCAGTCATGTCAATGCAGTTACTAAATCATCATATTGTCATGTTAAGACCATCAACAAGAAGAGACATTTTCAGAGTAAAGCAGACCTGGAGAAACTCATCCATGCCTTTATTTCTAGCAGGATCGATTACTGTAGTGGTCTCTTAACTGGATTCCCAAAAAAGACAAACAGCTTCAGAGTTGTCACTAGGAGTAAAAGAAGGGAACACAACACTGTATTCTTAAATCCTTACACTGACTACCAATATGTTACAGAATAGACTTTATGGCACTATTACAGATCTATAAATGTCTTAATGGTGCAAGAGCAGTGTATTTATCTGATATGCTGCAGCGATATGAGCTGAACAGAACTCTCAGATCATTAGGAACTAGTCAGTTAGTCCTGCCAAGAGTAAAGACTAAAATGGAGATGCAGAGTTAAGCTAATATGCTGTTCTTAATGGAACTAGTTGTCAGAGTATTAGTAGAACCACAACACTACATACTTCAAAATCCAGGCTGAAAATCTTCCTATTCTAGCAGGTTTTCAGCTCAGTTTAAAACACTGTTAGCTCTACTGTGCACCTTTCCTGTGACAGCAGGAAAATTAGATTATCACAATCTAATTTTTATTTTAATGTTTAATTTCTTCTGATTTAAGTGTACTCTTTTAATCATGTTTTAATTATGTTTTTAAAGTTGTATTCTACTACATCTTATCTTTTTTTTGTCATTTGTAATGACTGCAATTTGTAACAACTGCAGTTCTCATTTGTAATGACTGCAATGCATGAAAGGTACTATATAATAAATTTGCCTTCTAGAAGTAGAGAATAGTCTTTCACAATGCTTTGGAGGAATTTTGAATTTTGTTTGCAGAGTGGCTTTATTTCAGCCACACCAGATGCTTTTCAACCATGACCTGCCCCAGCATCTTAATAGGGTTCAAATCAGAACTTTCAATAAGCCGCTCTAAAACCATAATCTCATTTTTAATTAGCTGTTCAGACGCGGACTTCTTTCTATGCTTCGGATCTTTGTCATACTGCATGACACAATTGCACTTGAGCTTGATCATGGATTCATGACACTCTTCTGCAGAATTTTCTGGTAATTCATGGTCCCATAATGTATGGCATGTCGCCCTAGTCCTGAAGCATCAAAGCCTTTCAATCCACATCATTACACTACTATTACTGTGTTCCGCTGTTGGTATGATGTTCTAATTATTAGAATACTATGCTAGCTTTATGCCAAATATGTTCCTTTTTTGGCTCATCAGTCCACAAGACATTATTTTAAAGGACTTGGGGATCTTCAACATGTTTTTGGTAACAAATCTACTTTGTTTCTTATGGTAAACAGTGGTTTTCACCTTGCAACTCTCCCATGGATACAGTTTTTGCACCCCTAGTCTCTTTGTATTGGTGGAATCATGAATGCTGACTGTAGTGGCAGCATCCTTCACATAATAGTTCTGTCAGGCCACTTCTACCCTCGTGCACAGCTAAAGCTTAGCAGTCATTGTAATACCATCTGCATTGCAAGCCAGCAGTAATAGAAGTAATGTTACTCATGGACTACACAAATCCTGTGCTCCATCTTTTACTTAAAGTCTTGTAACCCATTCCAGTCAACAATCGCTTACATTCTGGCTTAGGCTAATGGTCAAACGCTTATAGTTTTCCATTCTGCACATGATGACATTCTTCCAACCTTTTTCTTTTAAAAGTGGCACATGTGCATTAGTCCTTGAAACTAACAGCAAATGAAATACTGCTATGTATCCATGAACTTCAGTACTTCACAAAGCTTAAAATAGA